ATATATTTTAGTGGCTTTGAACTTAAAAGAGAACTTAGTGAAAATTAAAATAAAACATATAACTCTAGACTCAGCCATTCTTTAGAACAGAGCAATGAATTACATCTGCCCCATATTATTATGTGTATTAAAGGGAAGCTATAAAAAGCCTTTTAAGAATAAATAAAAATTAAAAACATATGATTTTAACAGAACACATATGTACATATAAGTTGTTTAAAAATGATACATTACTGCCTTTCACAGACATTGCAGATATTTTAGACAGGGATAAATATCTCCCTAGGGAAGGCAGTTCATTGTCTTACTTTTTGAGTGAGGAAGACCTCTAATTTACTCCGTCCAGAGTCACCAGTGAGTTAGACTCTGTTAAGAGAATAATTTACTTTCCAGCATTCACTTTTAAAAAACACCATATTCCAATTATGAAATAGGTCTTGAATCTTGAATTCTCAATTTATTAAAATTAACATAAATACTTTGCTGAAAACCAGTGCCTTTTCACATTACATGACTATCTCAACTCATTTTTCATTTTTAAGCATACCGGTAAGTGTTTTAATCATTTCTATTTTATTATTTAATATTTAGAGTCTAAGGTGTGTGTATGTCATGCCCAGAAAAATGGCAGTCAGTTCAAACAAACCACAGCTGAGGCAGTTTTGTTTACAGATTGATGAAAGCACCCGCCTCTACATAGTTTATATAACAGATATAGTTATTAACAGCTTGGTGCCAGGAGACTGAATTTTCTGGGTGTGAAGTATACTGTTGGCAGAAGCTGTGCCAAGAGCTGCTACATTATAGGATAAGCACACACAGAAAACTCCTTCGCTGTGTTGGGATATGGATCTGAAAAATTGAAGAGTGAATGTAATCACTCCATTTTAGCTGTACTCCTTCAAGACTTGCTAGTACAGAACATTCAACTAGAAAAAAAAGGAAAAAAAATGACTTATAAAAGTTAGTTTTCAACAGAAAAAAAATCTTATTACTAAATACAGCCTTTACAACCACTAGAAGCATTTGAAAGGAGGACCCCAAACTCCTGTCAAAATTTAGTATTTGATTCTGCAAACTATAATGCAGCTCAGTAATTTAAGGAATTTTCTAGCTTGTTGCCATCATAAGAAATCATGATCTACAGCTGAGGTTAAGCCCATTCCAATCCCAGGTATGTAACAGCTTCACTACACAGGCCTATGTGCTTCTTGGTAAACAATTTTAAAGTACAAAGATGATTTTTTTGTAACATTCATTAAACATACGATAAACTTGAAAGAGCAACCTTTCAAAATGCAACACAATTCCAAAAATAATGAAATATATATAATGCATTGAAGTTTTAACTTACTTCCAGCCAACACAGTGTGGCACTCAGTTTCCTGACATTCCAAGGGGATTCAACCTGATTTTAAGAAAGTATAAAACAAGCATTATTCAAATCAGTGTTCAAGACTGCTCTCAAACTATTTAGGATAGCATTCTAGCAGCAATTTAAGAACATATGTGAATATGAAGCAGTAATTATATCACATGCATTAAAATGGCCACAGAACAACATTAAAATGGTATTGTAATACGATACATTTAAAAATTTAACATGGTTCCATACTGAGGATGTCCAGCCTAAGCACAAGCCTTTAAAACAAAATAGCAA